TCATCTACTTAAAATCATTCTTAAACATAAATTATGCAAGAGCTAAATCTGCTTATTGCAGGCCTTTCTTTAGGCCTGAAATGTTATCTAAATTATTAATTAGACATTAATTAACCTATCCGGACCATAATCAACTCTAGATGGCATCGCTAGCCGGCGATATTTATTGGATTATGAGCCGATTTACTGCATAACTTTCCTTCACGATTTAACGATTAAATAGATAATCGAGACTGCTGTTTTTCGTACTGACTTTAGTAATGATGATCGAGGCTAGGCGGAAATTTCAATCGCTTAGTTCTCGGTTCACAGTGGATTAATTTGAATGAAATATTCAGCAAATTGCCTTTACATTATCTAGTTTTTAACTATTATAGTGAGAACTGCCAACTCGTTATCGAATCTCCCATAATGTATCTTTAAGCATGAACAGCACATTTAAGACGTAGTCACCAAATTAAAAGAACATGAACTCAATCTGAAACCCAGTAAATGCCGATTTGGAGTTTCAAAAGTTAATTATTTCGAAAGATGGCGTTGAAGTTCCAAGGTAGCAAGAAATCGCCAAGAAGACATTTCTGTTTCTTAAAAAAAAAACCACAAAAGCAAATTCCGATTAAAACAAACATTGGAGCCAAACTTAAAAGTGTGTGACTTGGTAATAGTTAGCAACACCGTGGTATCTAAAACTAAAGCGGAGTATTTTAACTCTAATATAACTACCCCTATAGCATTGAACAAGTAGGCCCCAACAGGCATATAAATTAGCAAGCCGTGAAAATTTAAGACTCCAATCCGTAATTTTGTTAACCTTAACCGACTGAAGAAATATAATTCTAGAAAGGATATATTATAAACGATGACACTCAGATCAAACTAAATCCAATACCGCAGACAGCAAATTCCTGCAAGTACCTTCTGATGATGCCATGGACAAATCCATAAAAGCAGTAAAGAGAAAATTAAGAAGAAAGTCGATGGTCAAGTTCAATATTATTGTACACTGTTAGAAATTTTTGTAAAATTACAATAGTACAAGTAGTTTTTGTACCTTAATTATCGGTATGTTCACCACAATGTAGTAGTTTTACCAAGTCTGGCGTATTTTAACGGAGTTTCGTGTATGTTTACAGAGTTTCGTGTCTTTTTTTACAATAGACGGTGATGAAATCAAAGACACATTCAAAATCAGTAAAAATACATTCTTAGATATGTAATATTTCCAAACTGAACTCAAAATAAACAAGCATGCATGTAATTTTACAGATCTTACGTTTATTCACATTATTTTGTAAATTTACTTTTTGGTTAGAAATATAAATAAAATTACAGCAGTTCTCACTATAATAGTTAAAAACTAGATAATGTAAAGGCAATATGCTCAAAATTTCTGTCAAATTGATCCACTCGGAACCGAGATATTAGAGACTGAATGTTAGGCCTAGCCTCGATCATCATTACTTATTAAGTCAGTACGATAAAAAAAACATAGTCTTGATTATCTATTTTTGAATTTAATCATTAATGAGCGTTGAGCCCCAGATCGGACTCAAATCCAGTGAAAATCCAACACATAAGATGGCATCCATGAGTTGATTATGGTCTTTTCATGTTAATAAATGTCTAATTCATAGTTTATAGAACATATTAGGCCTAAAGAAAGACCTGCAATAGGCAGATTTAGCTCTTGCATAATGTATGTTTAACTTATTGGTAGTTATCGTATTCGGTAAATTTATTGTCTCGTAGCAAGCAATTTTAGAGATTTTACGTTTACTCACATTATTTTGTAAACTTTCAGGTTAGAAATATAAGTAAATTTACAGCAATTAAATTTTTACCAAAAATGTTCGGAATGTTTACCAAAATGATGTATATTTACCAAGTTTCATTCTTTTTTACAATAAACTTTGATGAAACCAAAGGCACATTAAACCCTGGTAAAAATACATGCGTAATATTTCAATATTGAAATGAAAATAGCAAAGCCAGTAGGTAATTTTACAGATTTACGTTTATTCACATTATTTTGTAAATTTACTTATTGGTAAATTTACTGTCTCTTATGTAAATTTACTTTCTCTTATTTTATTTTAGTATTCCATAGCAACGAACCATTCCTAATAATTATTTTCTTATAGTATTCATTCTAATTTATTAACCATAATATGGACAATCACATTTTGTGAAATTTGGTATATTGCATGTTATATATATTTAATTTTCTTTATTTATACGATCTAAAACGTGTATTATTATTCATCGTACGTTGATCAGATTGTAAGTATGTTCATTAACGTATAAAAAAATGTTTTGACTTTCTTGTCATAGATTGTATTATCTCGTAACCAAGGTCAATTGAAGACAGTTAATTAAACCGATTGGCCAGTGTTAGCTTGACTGTCTCTAGAGCAGAGTTACAATGCCTGCAGTAGACAGTACCACAAGCTTACATCTAAAATCCTGGAACGGAAGTTAAAATCATTGTGGTTTTTTTTAACATTTGTCTGTAATTTTTCATTTACTGCTTTTAGGTAAATTTACATTGGGAAGTTTAAAAACAAACTTACTGTAACCGTTCATTTACTGTGTTGCGGTGAATTTACAGTCCAAAGTTAAAAAACATTTACTGTTTTAAGGTAAATTTACTCACAAAGTCAAATTACAGAAACTCTGTAATATTACAGCTGAATGTTTATTTACAGTAAATTTACTGGCAACTTTTGCTGCCAGTAATTTTCATGTAAATTTACCAGATTTTTTCTAACAGTGTAGGCTGGGAAACTCCTGCCCAAAATGGTTCGAAGCAATAACTTTAATAAAATTAAATATTGAATTTTTATGTATAATATTTGTGTTTACTATTCCTACGGAATTAAAGATAAATATTGAACAATTTCATCTGATTTTGAGACTTTACTTTTAGATAATATACTTTATACGTTAACTTAATTAATATTATATTTTATATGCAACATTATTTAAACTGTTATTATATTCCCTTCGGAAATAAATGATGAAAGAAACCTTATTTGATTTATAGACTTTTATTTACTATCAGGATAACTGAAAAATTAACATCCAAGCGAGAAGACAACCATAAAAAGTATATCATTATTGCAGTAGAATCGTGACGCACAGGATTTCCTCAATAAAGAACACAAAAAAGCGGCCCGTTCCCACTCGTATAAAAGCATAAGACGACAAAGAGTTGTAATTGCATTGTCATTATTCATCTCAGATCAGGTCAAACAAGAAGACCCCGTCATCAACAGCTAGCGCCCTTGGTCATGTTTTAGAAGGTATGCAGGCAATAATAATATGTGTTATTTGTAACCAACAACTAGCTTGTAGTGTACATGTTATGGTGTAAGATATATAATAAATTATGGCCCGGCATCACATTGGCGTGGACAAAGAGGAATTATCTGTTTTCTTCAAGCCCAGTCCTCACGTATCGAGTGTGGTGCATGCGGGTTGACAAGGAAAGTGTGCGTAATCGTTATGATGGACGAAAAGCCGAGGTCTCAATGCACAAGTAAATAAAAACATCCCATCACACACTTAATTAACACTGCTTATAGTTTTTAATTAATTACACCCATTTTTAACAGTGTAGTTGTATGTTTCCTATTTTTATTAAAAGTAGTGAATTTTTATTACAGCAAGATCCCGTTTGAGGTTACTCGTACATCAACATAGATTTAAAAGGCTATAATAACTTTTTGTCTGTTTTCATATACGAAATGTGTAATAATCTACAATTTTATCGGTTTTGGAGCAAGTGTCGCAGTTGCAAAGCTCGATTTATAGTATTTCGAAAGGGCAGGAAAATATGATTTTAGAAATATATATATTAAGGGGAATAAAATAAATATAAAGCCAAGTTGTTTCAAGGGATGCGCCGCAAACATGTCTTTTTTAGCCAGGCAAGATACGCCCACATTTTGCAAGAGATGGATAGAGTTGAAGCTAAAAAAATAATCGATTTTTCGTACAATCAGGGGCCATAATCCCGTAAGTCATGGTCTGAAATGGGTGAATATCGACATGGACTGAGCTATTTAGGATATAAAAATATATTTTAAGTTTCATCAAAATCGGATACAAATTGTGACTTCTACAGAGTCCACAACCTTGGTATTACATACTTTTATACTATTTGCGTAAAAGGAGCGGTCAGGCAGTTTCGGTCCGATTTTCACGAAATTCGAATTGTGATATATTCAAACGGTTTTTTAAATCTGATAAACATTGTTACCTCTAGAGGGACCACAATCAAGGGCCATAATTCAGGAAGTTACGATCCGATTTGCGCGAATATCGAAAGGAACTAAGATATTTTGGTTACAATCTTATTAAAATACAGATCTATATTTCGTTTCGTTTTCTTATACTTCCGATGGCCTACCCTACATGAATATATGACCAGCTGTACTGGAAGGTCGCGTCAGGGGTCGTACGAGCGGCCTTTGACCCTACGACGTCAGACATTGATTATTGGTTTTATTGGCTAATCCTTCACGGCATCCAGAACGTCCGTTATATAACAAGTTTCGTCAAAATCGGATACGAATTGTGACCTGTAGAGTGTCCACATACAATTGTGAACGTCCGGACGGACAGGGGCGGCGCCAATATATGTCGACATGAAAATGTGGGCGTATAATAATTAAACATACATTATGCAAGAGCTAAATCTGCCAATTGCACGTCTTTTTAGGTCTGAAAAGTTATCTAAATTATTAATTAGAAATTAATTAACTTATCCAGGCCATAATCAACTATCGATGTCATTGCTAGCTTGCGATATTTACTGGATTAGAATCTGATCTGCTGCTCAACGCTAAAATTTAATCGCTAAATTCTCGATTCAGAGTGGATCAATTTGAGTGAAAGTTTCAGCAAATTCCCTTTACATTATCTTTGTTTTAACTATTATCGTGAGAACTGTCAGCTCTTTATCTAGTCTCCTATAATGTATCTTTAAGATAACTTACCTCCCAATGAACACATATTTGTGCACTACATTTTTTCTTTTAGCAGCCAGCAAAAGTTTGTGTACAGTCATTCCTTCACAGAAACACACGACCACTGTAGCATTTGGTGTAATTTCAAGTTGATCTATGACTTTATCAAAAGCAATTTCATCAGCTGAAGAGGCAATATTTGTGGATTCAGCTATACATACATTATGCTTCTGAGCCCTTACTTCAAATTCTTGAATACCCCTTTCACCGTAATTACCTGAAAAATCAAAAGTTGATTGGTTAAATGCACTCCTTGGTTCTGCCACATTCTGAAATTTGAAATACCTTATCTAAAGGCCCGGTCCCAGTGGCCGATGGACACAAAACATATGCAAAAAGGACACAGCGGACGAGCAAACTTTCGGGGGTGGCTCCATCCGTTTTCATCCGCTCCAGAAATGGACAAAATTGACGAAAATTTGCGAAAACCGAACGGAAAAGAACGAACGTGGGAAGTATGTAGCGGGGATGTTAAATGGATGTTCATCGGAAGCCTAGCGGATGAAAGCGGATGGAAGTGGATGAAAGCTCCGAAGGGGTTAGGCAAACTCCAGACATCCTTCAATATACCAGATACATCCCAGATACAAACGCTTTGTCCGTTTTGAAAACTTTATATACGAAATGCATACGCTTACATCCTTTCTAATTCCGTGCTACTAACGATGTATAGACGTTCCATGTGCCTTATCTTTCCTCCCTCTTTCCGTTTCAGCTTGAGCGGATGTGAGTTGCGAGGATGCCCAGAGGATGCAGAGAAGATACAGTGGACGTTTAACGGATGATAACGGACCTGGAACGTTTGATGCTCGTATATGTCGCGCATTTACATCGTACATGGCAGAAAGTTATGAAAGTTTTGTGCAGCTCAAAACTTTTTGCGCGAATGAAATCAAAGTGAACGGATGCTCGATGGATAGAGCGTATGAAACACGTATGCAATGAGTACACAATGGATGCATGGCGTTTTCAAACGGAGGGCACGTTTTTCCCCGTTTTACATCCTCTTTGCATCCGTAGGTGCAGTGGGACCGGGCCTTAAGTATAAGTGATGACAGACGTCGTGCACGGTGTATGTTTATCTTTTTCTAGAAAATTCGGTATCGTTTCTCATTTGCTGGTCACTAAGTCAACACAATAAATACATTTGTATTCATGTCATTCCAAATCTTATTATTAAATAAAAAATGTCTTCGAAATAAAAAAGTTATTTTATTCTTGTCCCAGGTGTATTGAGATGATAAATGAGGTTTCACACGTAATGTAGGTTTCGTGTGTTTGGGGATAAACGATCATGGTTAGTATAATATGGCTAAATATTACCGATTCACATGCTAGCGCTATAAGTAACAACCATAACAATTTCATTTTTTTTAAAAAATGAGGAAAATCATCGATGGTGTCTTAATTGACGCATCCAATTAATATCCTCAATTGTGAATGGAATATTATTCAATGGACACGGTGCAGTCACACCGTCAGCTAGCAGTTGGTATAGCGGGTGGAGAGGAAGGTGAAGATAGCTAACGGTAGCGGATTGCGGGAACGGTGAAGATGGCTAAAGGTAGTGGATTGCGGGGATTGTGAAGATAGCCAGCGGTAGTGGACAAATAAAAGGCAAGCTAGCTAACGGCAGTGGCCGTGGAGATAGCGCACGAGGGACAATCAAGATCGCTAACTACAACGAAGATCAAGATAACTAAAACGGTATCGGACCGAGATGGTCAAAATAGCTAACTGTATCGGGTCGAAGAGAAGATCAAGATAGCTAACGGTACCGGGCCCAGGAGTAGGTCAAGATAGTTAACGGTATCGTGTTGAAGAAGATCAAGATAGCTAATAGGATGTATCCCACTTTTCCTAAATTTGCTCGCCTAATCTACATGCCAACTACCACCCCTATAATTTTAAGCAGACCGTATGCTACACTACACGGTAAAATCTATTATATTAAGATGTATTCATATACAGGAATAGAATAGGGAAAGCAAAGATGTAAATTGACTTTAAATTTGACATTAAATTACTGTTTAGCAGAGGAATAGATCAACCTTTCTAAAGCTATGTTCAAAACCTCCAAAACCAGCACAGACAAAATAATTAACATGATATGTTTCTAAATTCATAACATGCCAAATTAGGGAACAGCAAAATTGAAAATGATAGCCTTCGTTGTAAGTGGGGATTACTTGCCCAAATCTCTATTTTCTACACACGTAATGATTTTGTTCCGTTATTTACCGTAATTTACGTTTCTCCAAAGCCAGTTTCGCCAAGTCTTTAGTCACACCGTTTTCTCTTTAAGAAAGATCCAATGATATGGTGTTCGTATTCAAATGAAATAACCTAACGTTATTTAAAATTGGCTAGACTTCAGATTAGACTCCTGAGCCTTGGAGTCGATCAGACAAATACCGCCTCACTACACAATTTATACTATAAATGTACTGTTATCATAGAAGATGGCACATCATCATCAAAGTGGGTATTTGTATTTATAAAATCTACTTTCAAACTTTACTAATTTTACTGGGTGTGAAAGGATGTGGTCAACATAACAATAATGATAATTTGTTATTTTAATGTATCACTGCCCAAAAATGTGCCTAAATGTCTGAATTTCTCACTATAATATATCACTGAATGAGCACTCAGGCACCGTACCTACCAAGTATGGTAGAAATGTTTTAACTGTTTTAAGTCGAACTTTGGAAAATTCTTAAATTTCCCCTTTAAGGCGATCCATACACCCCACGCCTTTGGGCGTCAGCCGCTAAATTAAAATATTGTTTATTTATTAATGTGATATCATTTCTATTTATCCTATTTCAATTCAAAGTCCATATTTAGTATCAATCCAGAATTTCATATAATCAGAAACTTGGAATTTGAATCGGTATTACATGTATAATAAAGCATTCGGGTTTGTGGGAATGAAACGTTCAAATAATTGACTTGAAATTAAAATCCATTGCGTTGTACTACCATTAATTCAAGTCTTCATTTCCGATATTTATATTGGATATAAACTTAAAATACTTCTTATATATACAATTTTGGAATAGATGTTAGGATAGCTGAATTTCAGTTCTTGATAGAAAACAGAACATATGACGTCTACTGCATTAAGTTTATGGTTCAATTGCCCATCTGGAATGCAGTGATATTTAAAGGAGCTAAATCGCTATTCTTTGGCAACTAGCAATGGACACAAATAGGTCGCAGCGCATATAATAATGTAATATGAACGTATAGAAGCTGATTTACATTCAATCGTTTCTGTTTTTACTGTAATTCCTAACCAGTTATGTTCGGCGAAATATGTGAAGAGTCCATTGAATGACAATTTTTGGCATTTGGTTATTCCAGTCTTCACCGGTAGTATTCTCCTGGGTTAGATCTATTTGATAAGGTCAACTTCATGTTTGGTCAAAGGTCATCCTTGTCGACACACTACCGAGTCATGCTAGCCAAGATCAGCCACATCAACCAGATCCTCCAGAACTACATGGGTCCTGCACCAGAGGAATTATAATAGTTATACACGTCAGGCTCAACGACAGGGAAGAAAGTGGAGCAAGGATACACGAGCAGATGCTAGATCTTCTCAAGGTGACCAGAGCAGCTTTCCCAACAACCAAGCTCTTCGCCACACAGATCCCCACTTGTTCCCGACTCCAAGAAAATCCGATCCCCTACCAAAACATCATCAGCTACAACCAATTGATCTCCACTGCACCTTCACCAAACGCCACCACCTTACCAACCTTCAAGGGCAAAATAGAACTGAAAGGTAACGACGCCATCCACTGCAGCCCAGACACGGCCAGAGAGATCATCAACTGCTGGATGAGGAATTTAAACTAGGATTAGGGAAAAGGAATGAGAAGCCGTCTTTAGGACAGACAGTTGTCAATTTGAGCGACAGACTTCTCAGCCCCCTAGAAATGATCATTCTTAATAAAGGTCTTAAATTCATCCCAACCCTCACAATAACATCCATAGACCCCATCACCCAGGCAACCGATCGCTTTCAAAAGAACATTTTCGTTGACTTATTTTTTAAGGAACAAACCCGGCAGAGGTAAAAAAATTTTCACAGAAAAATCCACATGGAAACCACCTAAAAAGTCAATATCACCAGCCATTCTAAAATCTTTCGACGAAATGAACACATAAATATCATCCCTTAAACCACAATCACAAAAAAACCAAATCTCAACTGAGCAACTAAAACGGCATTAAACACCCCCAAAAGGACAAAAACATAATAATTAAGAAAAGCGACAAAGGTTCGTGTTGTGTCATAATGAATCGCACAGACTATATCTCTGAAGCAGAAAAACAATAAAATAATCCTAAACATTACACTAAATTACACTTAAGGACACTGCAACCTTAATAAACAACATCTTACACGAATTGCAGGACAAGGAATACATAACAGCAAAAATATATGATTATCTATCCGCTAAATCTGACTGTCGACAACGACATCTCTATACGCTACCAAAAATACATAAAGATCCAGAAACGGAAAGGTTTATACCTAATAAATTACCCAAGGGACGCCCAATAATATCAAGATTGTGGCAGCGAATCATATAACGTATCACAATATATAGACCATTTCTTATTACCTCTAGCATGCCAACACCCATCCTACCTAAAAGACACGATTTTATTCACAAAATCAAACAGTCAAGAGTCCCCAAGACCATTTTAATATCCATCGACGTACAGAGCATTTACACGAACATCGATAATAACACAGGCATTGAAGCAGTTAGGAAAGCATTCCTTAGGAACCCACAAGTAAGGCAGGATGAAGAAATCCTCAAACTACTCGACATCTGTCTGAGGAGGACTGACTTCGCTTTCAACGACCAAGTATACCTCCAGTCTTCCGGAACTGCAATGGGAAAACGATTTGCCCCGAGTTATGCAAATCTCTTCATTGCGGAATGGGAAAGGGAAGTTCTGCCGCTCTGCCCATTAAAACCAGATTTCTATGGACGTTTTCTAGATTACGTTTTCATAGTCTGGACGTACACGCTAGACCAATTTTGGACGTTTTTCAACATTTTGAACAATCATCATCCATCTGTCTAATTAACCGCAAATGTAAGTCATAACGGCATAGATTTCCTTGACACAACCGTCTTTAAAAGTAGCAACACCAAAACCACAGGCCAACTGGAAACTAAAGTATTTTTC